TAAGTTTTTACTTTTCTTATAATCTGTTGTTTTGCCCTTTAATGATGTATTATTTTTGCATGTACAGATGCTCTCACACGTTCTTAAAGAAAATTTGTAGCAGGAAGTCAAATTCTTAATTCGAAGCATATATACATAAAATTTACATTAATGTCGGGTAGGTCACCCTATGTTTTATATTCATATATCCATACTCCATTCCTGCTAATTACACATCTCAAATGATAATAGATGGGGGCAAACTAAGGGTCCGTTTGACAGAATTAAGTGTTTGAATACTGAATTTTGATTGCATGTCTGATTGATTAAGAGTTGCGTGTGAATGTTGAATGTTGAATGCTAAATGACTTAAAGTTGTGTCTGAATGCTGAATGCTGAATGTTGAGTCCATTTGATAACTGTATACCATCATTATTGGAATAATGTTATTTCCTGTCATAACCAGGGTTGTAAAAAACGGTAACCGGGTCGGAGGCGGTCATGCACCGACTCACGATTAGTCGGTGCGGCGGTGATTAATCGGTGATAAATCGGAAATAAATCTGTTTTTAAAATTTAATATAATATATTTGTAGATATTATTTATAAATACTCAAAACATATATAAATTGATATTTAAACATAGTTATATCTCCATCATGTATATATCCTAATAACATAATTAAAAAGGCATTTTTTTAATTTACATTTATTCTTGAACATTCTTGGCATACATCATTAGTTCTTTAACAATAACAGTTAACATAATCAAAATAAAGCATAAACTCATTTTTTTTTTATTTATTAAAATCCCAACTTTTATTTTGAATTATATAAAAAAAAAAAAAAAAACCGATTTTTGGTCGATTTTTGCACCGAGTTTGACCCGCCTTAAAGGTTTGACCGACTAAAACCGCCTCACGGGCAAAAAACCAATTTTTCAAACTTTTACACTAAAATCGTAAAGGCCTGGGACCACCTCCGCCTCGGGGACCGATTTTTAGAACACTGGTTATAACCTTGCGTGTTGTTGAAAATATATTCGTTAATTAATTTTGAGTAGCATACATGAATAAATTTGAATTTGAAAACATTAACATAGATAAATAAATGTCAAGGCAATTAGTAGCAAAAGCTCTCAAGTTCAATCATTATTTCTCATATACTACTTAAAAAGAAAAACTAATTGAAAAGAGGGGAAAATTAAAAAAGTTATCTTCATTTATCTTCCTCAAGCTTAGTGTTTCGTACATGTTTTTGCATCTCCATCAAATCTAGACTACTAAAAAACATAGACTACTAATAAATATTCATCAATTAATGCACTCTCAATTGCTTCCTCTTAAAATACTACGTTAATAAGAATTAACAGAGCAAAATTAAGGTAATGGGTTTCTTTACTGGTCTCTCTTTCGAGTAATAGGAATAGAGAAATACAACAAACAAAAATATAACTTTCACAAGAAATTACAAACATATAAAAATTTAATGAAAGAAATAAAACGAATTTCTAAATTTGTGTTTACAGAGCAGGGTAGTGATGGAAAAGACGACCATCGTAAAACATGAAATGGAGGGATAATATGATATGAGGTTATGGTTGGAATTTATAACGGTGCGTTTGGATGAAGGATTTCAAATCCATAATAACAAATCGCTTGAACTTGTTTAGATTGAGGGATTTTGGAATGAATTTCAAATCCACACCCCTCTTTTTTAGTTGTTCTTGGAGCAATTGAGGTGGATTTAATGACTCCAAATTGGAGTCATTTCAAATCCCTTCCCCAAATCAAATCCCTCAATCCAAACGCACTCTAAAATTATTTAAGGGTCAACATGTCCAAAACTCATTCAGGAGGAACTCTGACCGAATAAGCACAAGATTTTATGGCTGGACCAATAATTTCACATAGGGTAGCGTTTAGCAATTTGATATAGCACGGGGTACTAATTGCAATAAGCCCTACTATTTTCTCTCCGATGAAAATTTTAGTATAAATAATTTTTATTTAAATTGCTAGGGAATTACTATTTTAATGGTATTATTTGACAGGAAGACAAGACGTTTCGTCGAAACAAAGTCGGAATGGGGCATTCCGAAATTTATTTCCAAGAAAATTATGTCTAATCCATCGAGCGGATACTTAGTGGATGACAAGTGCGTGTTTGGTGCTGAGGTTTATGTCGTAAAAAGAGAAGCAGTCACCGAATGTGTGTCTTTAAAGAATGTCGATATTAATCACAAGCAAGAATTCAAGATTTCGGGTTTCTCCAAATTGAGAGAAAGATGGCATTCTAAAGAATTCAGTGATGGAGGCCATAAATTGTACCAATATTTTTTTTAAGTGTTATTACAACTGTATTTAAAGCTCTATAAATTAATACAGACGGGACCAGCAAAATTCTATTAATTTAGCGAAATATTATATTATCAAACTATGAATTTAGTACATTTTTACCGAGTGGGGACCGGAAGAAATTATTACACACGAAAAAAAATTGTAAGTTATTACAACATTAATAAGTTAATTAAGGCCTTTCCTCAGTATCCCTGTTTTTTATTTTAGATAGTGTATGCATGATTTAAAATTTTCAATGTTTGTTGTGCAAGAGGTCGAAAAATTTAACCGTTTTTCGGTTTCTTAACTTTTTTTTTTTGCAGCTCAAGATTACTGGTTTACAGCTTATGAATATAGTTGGGGAACGCATACATTCATTGAGCTTGAAACTATTAATGATCCTGAAAAAGGATTCAGTGTTAAAGATTCGTGTCTTCTAGCTTATACAAATCCACGTCCAAGTTGTTGCACAAGTATCTCGCTTACCTATAAAAAAACTCGGATTAAACGTACGATTTCATCTTAATGTCGGTTTAGTTAGTCTATTTATATCCAATATTTCATATTCTAAAGTTTTTTTTTTTTTTTTTATTGACATGTTAGATGTTCATATATACTTCGGCTTAATCCCATTATATACCCTTGAAATATAACATTTTGATATTTTACACCCTCGAAATAAATTAATAGCACTTTGCATCCTCGAAACACAGTAAATGATGCATAATGCACCCCAAATAAATTTTTAAAGCTAATAAAGATCATTTAATAATTTTAGTGGTATTTTTTTAGCATGCCAAATGTAAAATCAAATTTTTTTATTCATAAATCATTTGAAACTATAAATTGCAAAAAAAAAAAAAAATACATCTAATCAATATATTTAAAAATTTAGTTTTTTATGACAAAAAAAAATATCCTTAAGCTATTTCATTATCTAATAATTTGAAAATTATATTTTCTTCCAAATTTGTATACCTAATCTTTCCACAACTTATAATAAAAGATCCATCGATCGAGTAATTTAGTAATAAAAGTTTATTTTATTTTACATGTATGAAAATATAGTTTTTTTCAATAATTGGGTGTTATTTTTTTTTGGGGAAAGTACAGTTTGCACCCCTGAACTATGGGGTCTGTAACAAAGACCCCCCTGAACTACAAAACGTACCAAATTGGCCCCTCCGTTTATAATCCGTTTGTGGTGTGCTGATGTGGCAAGTTGACTTTCTCCAATAATAGTATTTTGACATTTTTACCCTTAGTTTGCTATATTTATATTATATATGAATAAATATATATACGTTTACATTTAGTTAATAACATAATATACATAAACATATTATAGTTAATAAATAAACAATTAAAATATGAACAGACGAATTGAGTGCCATCCTCACCTGAAATAAAATTTCCTCTGCTACATTAGAAATAAGCCATGACTCATTGTTGTTCCATGAAAAGTAAGGAACATTTGCTTTGTGACCATCGTTAGCTTCCATTAAAGTAAATCAAAAATTGAATACAGAATAAATTCAACTCTCACATTCAAATGCAATTCTGAATATGGTCTCTCCAATCAATAATCACCCAGATGATGCTACCCAGATTCAACCTCCCTGAAATTTCTCTAAAAGTTACAAATCCACTACTCCCCGATTAAAAAGAGGCGGAGGGGGAAGGCTAAGAACTCCACCGGAAAATTCAAAATCTCGCCGGAATGGATGTCGGAAAAATCGAGAAACCTTATCTAACGGAAGAGAGAAGTCGGAAGGGAAGAAAAAAACCCAAAAGATTTTTGTCTGGGCTGTTCACAGGGAGTTGTGCAAATGGGCATATACTACCCTTCTTCCTATAAACCCAAAAGATTTTTGTTTGGGAGAGGTTATGGACCAATTTTGTTAAGCTTTTCATGTGTTTCTTCTTGAGCCGCACCATGAACAACGTGAAAATGTGAAGATGGAGAGGAGATTGAATTGCAAAAAGAGAAATGAAGTGTAGCAGATTAAAATTAAAATGTGAAGATGGTTGTACCCAAAGATACAACCCCAATAATGCAGACACAATTTTAAGGACAAAAGGGTAAATTCATTCATTTACTAACGGTGTTACTTTGTTAACGGTTGACTGAAAATCGTAAGGGCCAATTTGGTACCTTTTGTAGTTCAGGGGGGTCTTTGTTACAGACCCTATAGTTCAGGGGTGCAAACTGTACTTTCCCCTTTTTTTTTTTCCCACTTTGTGCGCTTGAAATTAGGTTGGAGATTGAAGAAAATAACAATTTAATTGTTTTTTGCATCTTGCAAAACAAAAAAAAAAAAAAAAAAGAACTAATAAAAAATGAAATTGGCTTTATTAATCAATCCAGGGTGCATTGTGAATGATTTTTGTGTTTTGAGGGTGCAAAGTGCTACTATTAGTTTTTTAAAAGTGCAAAGTGCCAAAAGACTCCATTTCAAGAGTGCAAATATGAATTAAGCCCATATACTTGCATGCTTTTTGAGATTTGTATAAAGGATGTGAGTCAATTAAGATAACAACTATAAGTTGGTATGTGTTAGGATGGGTTACATCGGGACAAATTTTTAAGTAAAGGGGGCATAATGATATAATTGGAATTTACCTTTTATTTATATTAGTCAAACTATTAGCATATACCATGAATTTAATTTTGTTGACCCATCAATGAGAACTTTTTCTCACATTTTCATTCCAAGAATACTTCTTGACTAATTCTTGTGGAGGGTAGAATGGTGAGAAATAAATCCCGTCGCTCTTCGCTACCCAATAACAAGTGTGATTTCGGAAACAAATATCGTGTCGCCAGTTACCATTGTAGACTTCAAACGCGGAGTCCTTATTCTCCCACCAAAGATGACAGAAGAATAAAGTAGCAAAGGGTCGCAGACAAAAATGAAAGTGAAATTCTTGATTTGTCGTCAGCGTATGGTGTCCAAGATCGTCGTCTTTAGATGCACAATGCATTGTTAATGGTTGAGCTTCATACGGCAGATTGCTAGCGACGTAAACCTCAAACTTTGAAGTAAATAAACATTTGAGTTTTTCTGACGAGGCCATCATTTGTAGGAGATTTGGAGAAAGCACGAGAATTAGTAGAAGATACTTCGTCGTCGTATAATTCATTGTCATGTTCTAGAGAGGATTGAATTGTGGTTCATTGATCAATTTGTTTCAAATTTTATAATATGATATGTGATGAATGCATGTACATAGATTACAATGATATATAATAGCATTTGATTTTGGCAACTGAGTTTAATTACAACAATTGACCTAGAAATTAGAATATTAGGGCAATTTAACTATACTAGAGATATTATCCATTGTAATCGAAATATATCATTTCCGAGATGTATTTTCAGATTACAAATATTTAGGATAATGTACAACAAATTAGTTTTAACCCCTAATTTTTTTTCCCACAAATGTAGTCCTCACACTAACCACTTTTTTTTCTAGTTTCGACGAAAAAGTCATATATTTTGCACGCGAGGATGCTAAATATCCCTATCTTTTTATTTAGCTCCCATATCCATTTATTTCTACAATTTCATCCCAAAAAACATTACATTGAAACTTGGATGAAGTATGACGTTAGAGGTTAGTCAGATGTGTGAGATGTGAAAGTAACAGCAACAGCAATTTAGCCTCGTTCGCCAGTGGTTTTCGATGCATTTTATTTTATTCCCGCTAATTTTCTTTTTTCATTTTTGAAAATTTCCGGCGAACTTTTGAAAACTTTTTCTACCTTTTCTTTTGCAAGTTTGGCTTACAATCTGTTGTTCTCCGTGTCTGAAATTTTTTGGAATCTCCCAAAAACTTCAAAAAATGATAGAAATCACATTATTTCCGAAGATTCTGAAAGTTTCAGAGTCGGAATAAGTTTTTAGGTTCTGAAAAATTCGGAATCGGAATAGGAATGCGAAAAAAATCAGAATTTTTTCAAAACACCCAAATCCGATCAGATCCATCCGATTTCTACCCCTAATCATAATACATGGCAGAGAAGTATCTTCCTTGTTATATAAAATGCACAAACCTGGTTTTTTATTGCTAAATCAGCACATTTTCCGCACTGAATGCTATGATATCTTTTTTTTTTTCAATCATTCAAATTTTAGGTGTCATTTTTTATACAATGAAGAGTTACAGGTTCCCCAATTCTCCTCCTGGTGTCTCGAACTCATGACCAAATGGTCCAAAGTACAAGATACTGACCAACAGGCTACCTTGTCTTGACAGACTTCTATAATGCATTAACATCGATTATAAAGCACATTATTCTCTAGACTTTCTCGTTTTTAAAGCATAATGAAACTCCAAATTAGTTGTTGCAACCACCTGAATAGAAAACTACTTTCTCCGAATGGTGAATCCGAAAACCAAAATAAACATGATACCTCAAGACATATACAACTGGGGATGACAATTTCATCGCCTAGACTTCAAAGGGTTTTATACTGTCGTCTTGGCGAAAAATGATGTTGTGGTGTATGTGGCATCTATCAGAATACAGTAGACCCTCGATAAATAAATAACCTTGATTAAATAATAGTTTCTTTCGGTCCCGACTCGGTAAAAACGTGTTAAATTATTAACTCGATAATCTGATAATTCGCTTAATTAATAGAATTTCCCTTGTCCCGACTTTATTAATTTATATAGGTTTAACTGTACATGCTAGAAAAGTAGCGGTATGACATTTCGTTGCAACTTGTTGGATATGTGTGTCGGCTTCTTCTCTCTTCTATAGAACAGATGCTTAAAAAATTAAAAGTTACGACGTAGTACTATCAGCTTCGAGCCCTAAGTTTGTTCAAACATGGTATGAGAGCCAGGCCAAATGAAAGTTCTTGTATTCAAATATTTCAAGTGCAAGACTTCAAATGTAGTTCGCTTGCATTTGAGATGGCGTATTGGAGATATAAATATTCAATGACTCATCTCACTCACAGCTTAAGTTTTTTATTGAGATCATCATTCAACAATATAAAGTTTATAAACAACTATTATGATTATTTGCACAAAGTTGCACCTAAAGCTGCACATTTTCCGCAATAAATGCCTGGATATGTTTTTTTTCAATAACCCCTCATATTTTAATATGCTCCAATTTCATCATTAACTTTATTTAACATCAATTTGACCCCAAATTTCACAAATTATTCAATTTTGACCCAAAACCTTTTTTTTTCACAAAAAAAAAAAATTCAAAAACTTTTTTTTCCCGCCGGATTCCGGCGTTGACATTTCTTTTTTCTTTTTTTTTTTTCCTTCGAGGTTTTATCGCCGGTCTCCGGCGTTGACTTTTTCGATTTTTTTTTCTTTTCTTTCTTTATGTAACTTTTTTTTTCGTTTAAACAACAATATTGCTGTGATTGATAACAATATTAACTATCTTACTGTTAAACACAGTAAAATTAACTAAACTACAGTTTAACACAGTAATATTGCTATATTAATCTCTAGCACAGTAATATTAACCAAGGTTCTAAAAGGCGGTTATCGGGTACGTGGCGGTGATTTATCGGAGATAAATCGGAAATAAATCGATTTTTAAATTTAGTGTAATATATTTCTAAATATTATTTGTAAATACTCAAAATATATATAAAAGAATATTTAAACATAATTATATCTTATCATTCATATGTTATTATATAATTTTAATTACTCAATAAATAACAAAAAATTAAAAATAATAAGATCATAATATAATAAAAGATTCTTACGAAATACAAATACTACGCAAGTCTTTCGCATCAACAATTAATATAAACACAACAAAACATAAATTGTGGAGTAGTACTTGGTTTGGTTTTGGAAGTTGAAAGAATTGGAGAAAAAAAAAACAAAATATATTTTCATTTTAATTTAATTTAAAAAAAAAACCCGATTTGTTGACCGATATATCGGTTTGACCCGCCAAAAAACCGCCGCAAATCGCCTCGCAGTAAAAAAACGATATTCCAAACCGCCTCAACAAAACCGTAAAGGTTTATAACCGATACCGATATGACGGCAGATATATCGACCGCCACGACCGCTATTTAGAACACTGATATTTACACAACAAAACTCATTATTATTGTGTAATAGAATAATATTACTATGTTGACCGTTCAACAAATGTAAACATGATAAAAAACCAAGAGAATTAATATTACTGTGAGTGACAGTAATATTACTATAACAACAGTAATATTATCGTAGACAAGAGTAATATTACAATAATAGACAGTAATATTATTACGTTACTCCGTGAATAACTCAAACAAACAAAAAATCCAAACAAAATAATAATATTGATGTGGTTGACAGCAATATTACTATAACAACAGTAATATTACCGTCAACCACAGTAATATTATTGTGTTTACTGTAATATTATTACGTTACTCCGTGAATAACTCAAACATAACAAAAAACCCAAAAAAATAATAATATTGATGTTGTTGACAGTAATATTATTGTGTTTACAGTTATTTTAGTGTCAACGACAGTAATATAATTACGTAGACTTGTCAACAAAAAAAAAAAAAAAACAACAACAAAAAATAAAAAATAATAATATTACATTAATTTACAGGCAACGACAACACAATTGCATAAATGTATTGTCAACGGCAGTACAATTACGTTAATTAACGATCATTGACAGTATAATTACGTTAAATTACTGTTAGTGACAACACAACTACGGTCAACGTTTAGCGGCGGACGTGAAAAAAAAAAAAAAAAAAAAATAAACCAAACATAAAAAAAAAAGAACTTAAAAAAACACTAAAAAAAAATCAACGCCGGAGACCGGCGAAAAAATCGGAAAGAAAAGAAAAGAAAAAAGAAAAAAGAAAAAAGCAAAAAAAAAAAAGAAAAAGAAAAAAAGTCAACGCCAGAAACAGGAGAAAAATCCGAAAGAAAAAAATTTGAAAAGTCAACGCCGGAATTCGGCGGCAAAAAAAAAAATTTGAAATTTTTTTTTTTGGTTCAAAATTTAATAATTTGTGAAATTTGGGGTCAAATTGAGATTAAAGTAAGTTAAGGATGAAATTAGAGCATATTAATTATGCGCCAAAAAAAGTCAAAATTGAATTTTTGTGGTCAAAATTGGAGTTTTGTGGACAAAATTAATTAAATTGGGGTTACAATTAAGAATTGGGTATAATTTAAATGGTTGAGGGTAATATTGACATATACATGAATGTTTCATTTATTTATAATAAGTATTAAATGGATGGGCTTATTGGTGAAAAAGATATAACTCCTAAACCTAGAATAATAAACATGATTGGTTGGGAACTTATGCACAAAAACCCCTGGTTTAAAATAGAATGCAACTCCAAATTAGTTGTTCCAAACACCCTTGTCGAAAACTACTTTCTTTAAAGGAGAAAATGGACTTCACACCCTATAAATTTCCTATTTTCTCACTTTCCCCCCTAAAACTTCAAAAAAGTGATACTCTTCCTTCAAAATATTATTTTGGTTGCACTTTGCCCGAGAAGCCTATTTTGGAAGGCATTGTGCAACGAAAATAACATTTTAAAGGGGCAACACGCAACAAAAATAACATTTAAATGGGCAATGTCCAACAAAAATACTCAATTTCAAAGAATGATCCATTGTAGTGTTGCTATTGAAGGACATTCACTTTAAAAAAATGAGGGGGTAAAGTGCAAAAATTAGAAATTTACAAGGGGCGATGTGCAAGTTTCCCTTCTTTAAATGGTGAATCTGAAAATTAAAATAGACCTGATACCTCAAGCCATATACAACTAGGAATGAAAATCTCCTCGTCTAGACTAGGGATGGCAAAAAAACCCGAACCGCTAGCTATCCGCGGGTATCCGTTCAGTTTAAAATCCGTTACCGTAACCATTAGGGTTTGGTAAACGAAAAGAAAACCGTCATGATTTTGGTATAGTTCTGATTTTACCTTTACGGTCATAGGTACCCGACCACTTAATATATATATATATATATATATATATATATATATATATATATATATATATATCATTATATATCATTATATATATATGTCTTGGGAGGTGGGGACCCATATTTTCATTATATATATCATTAGGGTTTATTGGGTTAAATTCTTTTGACTGATCCTACTTTTTTTTTCTTTTTCTGGAGACTTCAACACCGACAAGTACCAATTGGTGGAAGCTGATAAGAAAAAGACCAGACAAGATTACGAGCGCCAAGAGAAACAAGTTGAAATCCTGAAAAAAAAAAAGTTTCTACTTATTTTAGTTCTGACCGAGTGTCATTTTTTTTTTAGCTCCCCTAAAATATGTGGCATATTTCAGCATTTTGGCCCTTTTTGATTTTTTATATTTTATTTTGAGAAAATTTAATACAGGTTGTTAATCTTCCTTCTTGTTTTACAGTGTTTGAGGGACCAAAACAAATGCTTCAACTCGACATCTGACTTTTGTGCGCCAATGTTGTTGAATATAATTTCACCTCCTCCACAATTATTACTTAATGTTTGCCTCCTCATATTTATTTAATTTCAATAAAAATTTGTTAATTTTCGTTTTTGGAAGCCTCTTCTAAGGGTGTTGTCTTCAATTAGCGACGATGAAATTTCCAATAAGTTTTTCGGTATAATAAATTCATTCGTGTTTTACTATCCAAACACTTGCCACTGTGCATTTACAGCCACTTGTAGCCATTACGGAGATTGGGCCCTGCTTGCAGAACTTGGAAGCCAACTGCACAACATTCTTCATGTTGACGTAACCACAAGAAAGTTGGGTGATGCCTTCTGACGTAAACACTGTAAAACAAGAAGGAAGATTAACAACCTGTATTAAACTATATAGTAATATAATTTCATCTATGATCATCTACTTTAAACTATTTTTTTCTTCTGAGCCTATATACAGGTAATTAGGGTGGCATAACTTTTGGAACAGCAGGATATATTATTCAAATGAGGAAAATGCTGTAATCCGTCAAAGGCTCATATTCTTCGATTGATTGAAAAATGTAGTAATCGTACAAGCATGTAAGTTTAATATTCCGATGCATGTGAAAAATTAGTAGACAAACAAATACATTGTTGAGTTACAGGCTTGATTCTGCCAACATATTATGTATGATCTTTTTTGGTATTATATAAGTGCAATCATATCTGATATTGGGTTTTGGTTCGTGCATCCACGAAAAAATGGGCACCAACGCCGCGCCTTGCGCGGCGCACCAATACTAGTATATATATATGTGTCTTGGGAAGTGGGGGCCCACATTTTCCCCCTTTTCTATTTTCTTTCTCCTTTTCTTACGGCCCATTTACTGTCGAAACGGCGCCGTTCGTTTTCTCCCCTCCAATCCACAGCGGCCATTCTTTTCTTTTTGTTTAATTTCTCAAGCAGCTCGATTCCGAAAATCCTCGCTGTGGCCCCGTTTATTCAATTTCATTTCGCTTTTCTTTCTTTCTTATTCGCTGCATGTGGGTGTGTTCTATTTTTGTCTTCAATTTCTTGGTTCCTTTGGGTGATTTGGCATTTAACAATTAATTATTAGGCTTTGTTTGTTATATACAATTAATTAAGTTTCTGTACATTTTGCCAAGTGCATTTAGAGGAGCTATCATCTTCCTTTTAATTTTACACATCCATTGTGTGGCATTTATAGCTCATCTTAAGAGTTTATTACTACTTGTAGCATATCTCACAAATTTCCGATTAGTGATTCAGCATAATGTTGAGATCGAGGTTGTTGAAATTCTATTTCACATGATCAAACAATACAGTTCATATTTGTGTCATTTAATTGCTATTTTCTATGCTTCATTTTCTATTTCCTGTTTTAAATACATTATTTCCTTGTTGTTTTGCTATTTCTTGTATATCAGATTGCAAAAAGTTCTTCAAGGTATTCACTGAATTAAGCATCAATAACAGGTATATTATTTCTTTTCTAATTTTCTTTTTTCAATTTTTCTTCATAAATTGAACTTTTTTTAAAAATTGGTTCTCTTTTGGGATTTTTGTCCTGGTTTTTAGGCTCTCTGTAGCTGTAACAACCAGCAACGGATCCTTAATTGTTTGATTGATTCTTGATGTTCAATTTCTCTTTATGTATTAGATTTGTTTCCGGTGAACTTTGTTGATCGTTTTGTTTTGCCATCTTACTGAATCCTTTAATATTCGCCGTAGCTGGGATTGAATTGAGGATGACGGAATAAACTGGAAAGGAAATAACTTAAGTCATTATGTTCACAATGAAGGATTGACATTACTGATTCGTCCAACAAAATCAGGTAAAGAATCACACGATATAATTTTGTGCTCAAAATGTCATTTTAGTCTTTCATGCAAGATGGAAAAAAGTTTTCATTTATTTCCTGCTTTTATTTCTTTGTTTTGGTTGGTCTATGCACTGTGGGAGTTATAATTGGTTTATTCTTTTTAGTTTCTTGGTCGGTAATATTGCCACAGATCGGCTGGTTCTTTTGGCTCTTAAATTTATGATTTTTAGTTGTAATTGCCAACGGCATGAAGTATAAGCTGTTGTCCAAACGTGGAAAACACTATAATAATTCGTCGAATACGTAGTAATCGGACAACCAAACCTTCACTAATGCCTATAGCATTGCATAAAGTGGATCACGAGTCCAGGATTAGAGAGTCCAACAACAATAACAGAAGGGTTAGTGATCTCTATTATGATCTATCAACTTCTTCGACTAAATCAAGGGATTTTTCTGCATACAATGGCATGTAATATTTCAAATATGTTGGTTTAAGGTCATATTTTACATGTGATGGTTGAAACAGGTTGCGACAAATTTTGTATTTAGCTTCATGCGAATAGAATTATAGCAAAATAACCCTGTAATTTTAGACTACATTGAATGGGCACGAACACCGCGCTTTGCGCGGTGCTCCCAACACTAGTATATATATATATATATATATATATATATATATATATATATATATATATATATATATATATATATATATATATATATATATATATATATATATATATTAATTCGACAATATGAATAAAATAAATAATTTGGCAAAATTTTAAATAAAATATTAAATAATTGAGGGAGGATATATTTGTATAATTTACTTTTTTTTTTCTTCCTCTTTTTGTAGAGTTACTTAAACGTTATCGGACCCAAAGTTATTTTTTATTAACATAATTTAAATGGTAAATGGGTATCCGTGGGTACCCGGATATTCGTGGTAATGGTTATGGTATTTCCATTAACTTTTTAAAAGGGTTTGGTATGGCCATGGTTTGAGCTATATTAAATGGTAATGGTTCTGGTATTGCACTTTTTCGAGGGTACCCGCTCCGCTGCCATTCCTAGTCTAGACTCTAAATGGTTTTTTATTCTACCATAGAAATATAAAACGTTAAAATTTTAACGGTAAATTACAATCAACCCCCTGAGGTATGGTCAAATTACGAAAAAACTCCTCATGATTGGATAGTTACATCTACCGCCTGAACTATGAATATTCTTACATCTCCACTCTTATGGTGTCAAATTCAACATACTCATCTAGATTCCGTGGAATTTTTTCTAGTTTGAACAAATTTTGTGCAAAAATACATTTTCCGATGCACCACAATCTGATATATACAAGCCAAAAAACACATCTTATGTGGAGCTTGAATTGGATAAAACGGGTCCATAATTGAGAATATTCTATACAATCTAGAAGATTCCACTAAATTTAAAACCGCAATGGTGGACATGTAAGATAGAAGATTTATAGTTGAGGGGTGGTTGTTATTACCCAAACAAGTGGGGAGTTTTCATAATTTGACCATACATCATGGGTGGTTGTAATGTACCCAAATTTTAAATATTGCATTGACTTTTCAATTGATATTTTTGATGAAATTATTTAAATTATTTTTTTAATTATTCCATCCAATAAAAGTGGAAACATATCGAAATTATTATTATTTTTTAAATTTCAAAATACAAAATAATTATATTAAGGGGTAAGTATTACAAATGATAATTTAAGAGGTAAATGTTACATAAGTAATACTTCAGGGGTGCAAAGCAAAGTGTATTTAACCCTAAATTAAATTCACTTGGTGACTAACTTTTACCAATATTCCCGGTTCCAAAACTTCAATTTCAAAAAAACATACGGATTAATATTCCCATTGGACAAGAACTCTTCATGCATTAGAATTCTCATGGAAGTCAAGGTAAGTTACGTACGGATGAATATTAATTTTCACATTCATGCATGTATATAATAATATATAAAGGGTGCTCTGATTTCACAAACTTAAAGTAGGCCAAAAAAACAACAGAAGAAGACGATGGGAAACTGTTTGTGTGTGAAGCCAGCAACGAAGGATGGTATGACAATTCTCTAAACAAAAAATCTATTTTTTGCTTCTCGTGTATATACAGTCGGAACTGGCAAAATTCTATTAATTTAACGAAATATTAAATTATCGAACTAATAATTTAGTACGTTTTCACCGATTCGGGACTGGGAGAAGTTAATATTTAAGCGAGGTTATTAATTTATCGATTAATCAATCGAGAGGTTATTAATTTATCGATTTATCGAGATTCTACTGTATGTATGTATGTATGTATATTTTTGTGCTGAAATTATATGTGCATCTACTGTTTTTAGATGTGACCATCCTAAATACAAGAGAGGCACCACCTGCTCACTTCATGATAAAGATTGAATCTTTCTCCGTGTTTGAAAAGTATGGAATTACGAAATACGAAACAAAAGAATTTGTCGCCGGCGACTACAAGTGGTATATTCTCTCTCTCTCTCTCTCTCTCTCTCTCTCTCTCTCTCTCTCTCTCCTTAATAAGCCACTTAATAAGGCAAAATAATAAAGAAGTAATGGAGGATGTTTGAATTTGTACAGGAGACTAATATTCAATTTTAATGGAAGAGATAGTGATTATATATCTGTAAACTTGGCTATGACGGACACAACTTCTCTCCCTACAAACTGGGAAGTCAATGCTCTCTTCAGCATCTTTCTCTTTAATCAGATTTCAGGCAATTATTTTTCTTCAACAGGTATTATATATTAGACTTTTATTTTTTCTCTTTTTAGTCATAAATTATTTGTTTACTTCAATTTCTAAGGACTATTTTTATAATATTATTGGCAGGAAAAACGAAGTGTTTCCAAGCAACAAAGTCCGAATGGGGAATTTCAAAATTTATCTGTAAAAAGGTTTTGTCTGATCCATCAAATGGATACATAATCGATGACAGCTGTGTGTTTGGTGCTGAAGTTTTTGTGGTCAAAAGAGAAGCAGTCATTGAACGTCTATTGTTTTCGAATGTCAATACTTATTACAATCATGCTTTGGAGATTTCGGGTTTCTCCCAATTGCCCCGAAGTTGGGAGTCTGAAGAATTTGATGCCGGAGGCCAAAAATGGTACAATTGTTTTGTTTGTCACAACTATTACCTTTTATTTTTTTTTTTTTTTTTTGTGTGATTAAATATTTTTATATATGTAAACGTAGGAAAATCCTTCTTTACCCGAAAGGAAATGGAGAAGGAACTGGCAGCCATGTTAGCATCTATTTGTACTATCTTGGTACCGAAAGAGTGCAGACATGTTTTACCGTATGCATGAAAAACCAGTTTGATGATAAACAAACTAGACGATATTGTAAGTACTTACAATATTTCGTTTAAAATGTTTGAAGTTTCAAAACGGAAACCGAAACCGAAAACTAATTCTTTTTCCCTTTTTTTTTTTTGCAGTTTTTAGTTATTGGTTTTCAGCTTCCAGCAGTAGTTGGGGAAGTCATGTATACATTGATCTTGCAACTATTAATGACCCTAACAAAGGATTCATTGTCAAAGATTGTTGTCTTCTAAATATTGAAATCAACGTCAAAGCTGTTGCGCGAGTATCTTAATTAGTTACCTATTAAAAAGTTGGATTAGACGATTTTGTTGTGTGTATCAAACACAACTTTATATTTTCATGATATATATATTTATTGCGTGATTATGATGGTATAGTATTTGCATCAAACTTAAAAGAATCACAAATAGAGGCTTCGCCTGCACATTTTTTTTTTATGAAATCGGAATCGTTTTCCTTGGTTCAAAGTGCAAACTTGAGAAATACGAAAAGATAGAAATTTGTATCGATCAGTTGATCTTGCAATCTTGAATTCTATCATAACAGAAAAGCCATTACATTTTATGAACCAGAAAAGATAGAATAAGGTTACTCGATCTTTTCTTCGATCTCGTTTATGAGAAAACAACAAAGGAAATATTGACTCCTTTTTTTCATGTAAGATAAACTAATTAGTGACCTGACATGGCTGAGAACGGAAAAAAGAAATAGTTGTTCATAGCATTTTGCCACCTATATTTTGCCCCATTTTGCGTTTTGCCTCCTTAAATTTAAACAAGTTGCACGGGCATAGCAAAACCCGTTTTTTTTACGCGCTCGTGCAACTCTTTTTAGTTAATGTTGCAAAGCCCAAAAAACGAACAATGTACAGGTGACAAAATGTTATGAACAAAAAATAAAATAAAACTTGGCCCCACGACATTAGCACCGTCGTTATTTGGACTAGGGTTTGATAGACAATATAATGTAATCAAACGTCATTAATTTTGGGCATATGTTCAAGATGAGCGTACATTTCAATCAAGCACGTCAATGCATGATATTTAGAGGGTGTTTGGTTGAGCTTATAAGTTAATGAGTAAAAATACCTTATAAGTTAATTATGCAAACACTTTAGAAATTAATCCAAAAATAAGACCTAACAGTTTCTCAACTCTTAAAACAGCTTATCAATCGTAAGATCTTATCAACTATTTAAATACGTTTAACGAAACGAACTCTTACTCCATGCCTAACCTCTACTGGCCAATTATTACATAACCCTAAGTTTATCTTCGGAATCCAACAATTTAAACTAGTGTATGTGCGTCATATTTACTCATGCCTGTGTAATCTCTAATTGCCAAATACCCCATGTCAAAAAATAATTCACTCATGCCCCCCTGTGTTAACAAAGTCAAAGCATTGAGACCCCTAGAGGCAAATTGTGTCTCTCACGCGCCGTTTGTGCGATTATTCATGCTATTTTTTGGAAGGAAATGACATAAATACCCCTTTATAAAGAAAAAAAAAACAGATTAATTTAATTATAAATAACCTAAATTTATAGGACCAAATTGTAATTTCCAAAGTTCACACCTTCTTCCCCATTTCCGTCGGGCCACATCCCAGTCATTAATAAATTCAGCACCGCCGCCGTCTGGCCCCTCCGACACCCACCCACTCCTTCAAATTTCTCTCCCTCAACAATATGCCGCCGTCTCGCATCACCGCCACCCACCCCTCGTTCAAATTCTTCTCCTCGATACCGCCTAGTTCCTCCGCCACACCTTACCCCAGACCCCTTCAAGTTTGTTGCGTCTGCCATGGATGTCACCTCCATGGCAGCGCACTCCGAGCGGCGACCCTACCTCACTGGAGACATTCCATCGGCGACCCTACCTCACTGGAGACATTCCATCTCTCCGCCGCCGATTAATAGATCCGCCGCCTCCGTCAATGTATATTTCTTTTTTTTTGTTTACGTCCACCATTTTCAATGTGGTTGTAGATGGCGGATTTGGATTTTGGAGAAGAAGGTTGGTTATGGGGTGCAGGACAAGAGGCGTGATAATTTTTTATTTTTTTTCTCTTTTGATTTTTTTTGTTCATCATTATCATTATTTTAATATAAAATGTAAAATACAAAATTACAATACATATAAAAACTTTTAATATTACAATATATTTTAATTCTTGTTTATATATATTTTATTTTTTTTAATTACAAAATACTTTTTTTTAAATAAAATTAGATAATTATGATATAAAATTTTGTGTAATTAAAATCAAGGGAAAATTGGCTAGACACCCCTTATTCTTGACTTATATAGGTAGAGATCCTAGTTGCTAGATGAATATAGGCATAGGTCATTTATCACATAAAAATAATATAAATAAAATAAAACAATTAGTATATGGACATAAACACCCTCAATTAATAAGAAAACAAATCTCATACACTCTCTCTCTCTCTCTTCAATCTTACGTATCTTTCTTCCTATATAATCTCTCATATTTCTCTTCCTCTCCATCTCCATCTCGTGTCTCTGGCTTTTTTCTTCTGATTTTTTTTTCTTTTCAATCAACACTTTTCGATCTTTTTTCCGATCAACTTCTTTCTTTCTCTATACCCTTTCTCGATTACATCGGTTCGATTTTTTTTTCCTTTGGAATTCAAATTCTTTTGGATTATGTTGTAGGGAAGGAAAAAAAATTGAAGCTTTACATTATTAGATGATTTTTCGGTGAAAGAGTTAAAAGCGGACAACAAACATAAATCGCTCATTGCTTGCACAAGGTGAGTTTTTTTTTTCTCGTTTTGTATTTATCTGTAGTGAGTTTATAATGTTTGTTTGTATTTCTAATTGATTTTGGTTCAATAAATAGCAAAAAACAAAATAATGAAACAGCAAAATCAAATTGTTGTTGCAAACTGCAAATTGCAATCGATAACAGTAGATTTTGTTGCAAACTGCAAATTGCAATTTTTGCATTGATAGAATATTTTTTATAATTTTATTGTTATTTTTTGCATATTTATGATATGTATGATATTTTTGTTCTGTATTTTTATTTTTATTATTTGCATTTACATATTGCATATCATATTTTCATTTTATTGTTTGTAATTAGATGATGCTGATTTTTTTACTTGTTCGATTTATTGTTTGCATTTGGTGAATTCATAGGTAGTTTGTTGTTTTAAGTTCAATAATGCAAGTTTTAATTATTTGTTTGCTATTTGCATTTTACAGAGACAAAAGCGGGCGGTTGCGGCAGTGGCGCGACGTTCGTAGCGGTGGTGCGTTTTTTACTACCTGAGTTGTTACCGAACAACAAGCAATTTCTAAACAGCAAACGGCACGAATGCAAATTGGGAAACAACAAATCGAACGAAGGAAAAGGGAATGAAGGCAAACTGCAAACGACCTTGTAAATTGCAAACGCTCAGACACCCAAACCTATGGAAGGCTTCAAAATTTGTGGAGATTTTGGTTTTGAAAAAATAGAGAAGAATCGATATCAAGAGATTTGCAGTCCTAATTTTCGGATTTGTTGTATAATATAGGGAGAAAAATAGGGGATTTGATTTTGAGGATTTATTTTACCATATATTGATAGGGGTATTTTTGACAAATTACAAATAATAAAATCTGCTGGAAATTAGAGTTTATTAGATGGATTTTAACACATATAATCTCTTAGAGGAGGACCTATAGCAAATTGCCCCTAAAATCAATTATCATGTACTAATTGCTAAAAAAACCCTAGAACATTTCAGTCTTTTTACCTTTAGTCAAAGCCTAAAATTAGAAAAGGTGCAGTGTGCTTCGAAAATATTAACACAGGGGGCATAAGCGAGTTTTTCTTTTACAGGGGGTATTTGACAATTAGAGATTACACAGGGGTGGTATTTGCAATTAACTCAAAATAATAAGGCTACTTAATATTAAGGGTAAATAGCATTTGACTCCCCTGTGGTTACAAGCTTTTGCAGATGACCCCCTTGTGCTCGTAATATCAGCACATAACTTCCTTGTGGTTGATTGGGGGTAGATTCCGTTAACTTTTCCGTCAAAATTAACTGAGCGTGTCAAACGTCAAAATACTATATTTTGCATGTCTCCCTTGTGTGTTTACATTTTCCCTTTAACTTCTGCAGATGACCGACCCCCTTGAAGTTTGACACGTGTGGTTTAGTTTGATGAAAAAACTAAAGGAACCTCTATTAACGACAATGGGGTATTGTGCTGATATTACGAGCATAAGGGGTTCATCTGCAAAATCTTGTAACCGTAGGGATTAAATGCTATTTACCATAATATTAAATAGGGGTCATTACAAATAAGCACATCAATGGGTACTTATTCATAAAGAGATCCAAACAAAAAACTCATTTACCAATAAGTCCACACATGGTCCAGATTTTTGTAAAAGACTAAAATAGCCCCTCATACTTTAATATGCTCAAATTTCATCATTAACTTAATTTAACCTCAATTTGACCCCAAATTTCTCAAATTATTCAATTTTAACCCAAAACCTTTTTTTTTTAAAAATATTTTTGTATCAAAAAAAAAAATTTGCCGCTGAATTCTGGCGGTCAACGACGGTCTCCGGCGTTGACTTTTCATTTTTTTTTTCTTCCGGATTTTTTCACCGGTTTCCGGCGTTGACTTTTTCGATTTTTTTTTCTGTAACATTTTTTTTTCGTTTAAACAACAATATTGCTGTGATTGACAGTAATAGTAACTATATTACTGTTAAACACAGTAAAATTAACTGAACTACAATTTAAAATAGTAATATTGCTCTATTAATCTCTAGCACAGTAATATTGACACAACAAAACTCATTATTATTGTGTAATAGAGTAATATTACTATGTTGACCGTTTAACAAATGTAAACATAATAAAAAGCCAAAAGAATTAATATTATTGTGAGTGACAGTAATATGACTATAACAACAGTGATATTACCGTCAACCACAGTAATATTATTGTGTTTACAGTAATATTACAATAATAAACAGTAATATTATTACGTTACTCCGTGAATAACTTAAACAAAACAAAAAACCCAAAAAAATAATAATATTGATGTTGTTGACAGTAATATAATTATGTTGACTTGTCAACAAATCAAACAAAAAAAATTAATAATAATAATAATAATAATAATAATAATAATAATAATAATAATAATAATAATAATAATAATAATAATAATAATAATAATAATAATAATAATAATAATAATAATAATAATAATAATAATAATAATAATAATAATAATAATAATAATAATAATAATAATATTACGTTAATATACTGTCAACGGCAGAACAATTACATAAATGTATTGTCAACGGCAGTACAATTACGTTAATTAGCTGTCATTGACAGTATTATTACGTTAATTTACTGTCAGTGACAGCACAATTACCGTCAACGTTTAGCGGCGGACGTAAAAAAACCAAAAAAAAAAAAAACTTAAAAAAACACTAAAAAAAATCAACGCCGGAGACCGCCGAAAAAATCCGGAAGACAAAAAAAAAAAAAAAAAGTCAACGCCGGAATCCGATAGCAAAAAAAAATTTGAAAAAAAAAGTCAAAATTGGATTTTTGTGGACAAAATTGATTAAATTGGGGGTTACAATTAAGAATTGTGTATAAAGGGGTTGGGGGTAATATTGGCATATACATGAATGTTTCCTTTATTTATAATAAATATTAAAGGGATGGACTTATTGGTGAAAGAGATATAGCCCCTAAACCTAGAATAATAAATATGCTTGGTTGGGGACTTATGTACAAAAACCCCTATCTTATATATAACAGAAAGAAACGCTAGGGCAACCCTAAGAAACCCTAATGCAATATTTGTAATTGTTTTTTTTTTATTATTTTCGATTTTTATCAAATTTATCTTTTATATATTATTTTGAATATTATTTTAGATTTTTATCAGATATTTATCTCCTAAATATTATTTTCTATTTGTATCAGATTTTTATCTCCTAAATATTATTTTCGATTTTTATCAAATTTTTATCTCCTAAATATTATTTTAAATATTATTTTCGATTTTTATCAATTTGTTATATCCTAAATATTATTTTAATTGTTATTTTCGAATTTTATCAAATTATTATCTCCTAAATATTATTTTAAATATTATTTTTTATTTTTTTAGCAGATTTTTATCTCTTAAATATTATTTTAAATATTATTTTCAATTTTTATCAAATTTTTATCTCCTAAATATTATTTTAAATATTATTTTCGAATTTTATCAAATTTATATCTCCTAAATATTATTTTAAATATTGTTTTCGAGATTTATAAAAAAATATCTCCTAAATATTATTTTGGATTTTTATCAAATTTTTATCTCCTAAATATTATTTTAAATATTATTTTTTATTTTTACCATATTTTTATCTCCTGAATATTATTTTAATTGTTATTTTCATATTTTATCAACTTTTATCTCATTAACATTGTTTTAAATATTATTTTCGATTTTTATCTTGTTTTTATCTCTTGAATATTATTTTAAACATTATTTTCGATTTTTATATCCTAAATATTATTTTTCGATTTTTTATCTCCTCAATATTATTTGAAATATTATTTTTTTATATTCATCAAATTTTTATCTCCTACTTTCGATTTTTATCTCCTAAATATTATTTTCGATTTTTTATGCCCGAACCAGCCCAAATCGCTCCTATTTTCAACCATAAATATCTCTAATGCACAAACAATTAAATCTCCTAAATATTATTATATCTCCTAATTATAGCCATAAACATCTCAACACTAAATATTATTTTTTGATGGATGATAAAATACTAATTACCATATTCCCAAAGATGGATGATTCCCAAAGGCTTCCTACTCCCAATACTTTCAACTTCTCTCTTCCACTTTAACATGTTTGTGTTTTCTCTTTTTTTTTTTTTTTTTTTTTTTTTATATATATCTCACCTCTGCAATATTTGAATTTTATTTCTTCATCCTACCTAATTATTCTTCTTTTGGTAATCCGACTTTAGAATTTTTGTCTTATTTTTCTTCTTCATCCTATTGACTGTGTGGTAATTAGTTTGCATCTTTTTTCATCATGGCTTATTGGTAATTTCATTTTGTTAAATTATGTGTTTCATTAATTTATACCAAAGATTCAAATTGTGTGTATAACATTTATTTCATTTTAGATGTTATTGGACATGTTATTGAAAGGGATGATTGGAGAGAACTAAGCAAAAATGGGTGGAGCCACAAGCTATTGGAAGTCGGCCTTCAAGACATATTGTGTGTATGCGATATTTAATTTATTGTTTATATTTATTTTGTTTCTTAATTTTCCAATCGTTAATTCCAGTGACAAAACAGGACCAAAACGAGGCAGTGGAGAAGGGCTTAATTACGATGCAAGATGTATAGATGGCCTTTTACGTTGGTATGTTGTCGATAGTTTAGTTTTGATTAGGTTAAGTAAGTTATTAAATCTAATTACTTTTAAGCGCAACATGAAAGACGTAGTTGATGATTTTGTTCCTGGTTCAATTTTTCAATCTACTGGTATTAGCTGATTCAATTCATTTGGAAAATTATTCAACAATAAAGTTTTTTTTTTTTTTGTTTTTTTTTTTTTTGTGTAGTATACTTAGTAATGTTCCATTGATGAATTATTAATGAATGATTATAACAGAATTTTGATCATACGATACATCAAACGTTTGTTTATATTCTTACAACATCAAAACAACGCAATTTGTTGTCCCGTGCATCGCACGGATACAATTACTAGTTAAATATAAATATATAATACTATGGCCTATGGGGGGCAGTTTGAACGTTCTATGAACAATATATGTTCATAAGCGTTATAACCAAACATTAGATTACGGCCTATAATTTTAGGGCAAGCCGCAAATCAACGCACGCATGTGACTTTAGTTATATTTGCTAATCCGTCCACTGCAAAATCTCTTCTCCAAAAAGGACATCAAACTCAACCCAAGACTAAAATACTCCTCAACATCTAATTTACTCCAATTTCATTACAAAAATAATCATTTAATCAATATTACACATTGACCCCAATTCAAAATCATTATTGCATATTCACCCCCGATCGCTCTCGTTTAAGTTGTGCTGGAAAGTCGACATAAAAATCTACAACCTTTGAATTTTGCTAATTTTTAGATTCCTTTTGGATCATGCTCTATAATCAATGCAAAGTATTTTAAACAAGACGAGGGTATTTTTATCATAAGGGACCTAGAGATTAAATTTTGTTTTTTTTGTGTGGACCTATTTGCATGAATATTAGTTCTTAGGGCGCGTAAAAAATTTCCCCTATTTCGAAGGTGCTAGTTCAAAAAAAAAAAAAAAAACTGTTTAATTATTTGCGTGAAATAATATACAAAATCTTATGCAAAATTAGTGACACTTAAAATTCAAGAAAACGAGTGAATTGAAAGTTAGTGATAAATAGTCCTAGTTGGAGTGTTGAACAAGAACTCTGCATACGTAAGCATTGGCGAGAACCCTAATTCCTCCAAACACAAAAGCTAGGGCACAATAATATGGCAGTGAATCCAGCAATAGATGGTACGGAAATTCTCACAAAACCTAATTTATTTTTCAATTTATTTTTCTCATATGTTTATATATATTGCTGAATTTATACGAATCTATGTTTGCTTTCAGAAATCACAAATATGGAAACAAGAGAAGCACCACCTGCTCATTTACTGATTAAGATTGAATCTTTCTCCTTGCTTGGCACGTGTGGAATTGACAAATACGAAACCAGGGAATTTGTGGCCGGAGACTATAAGTGGTATATGCATATTCCATGGATTGGATTCTTTCTCGGGAAAATTATAGTTTTCATAGTGTTCACCGATTTCACGTTTGGTCCTGTTAAAAAAAAAACACATTTGGTCATCATGTTCCAATAATTTAACACTTATAGCATTTCCGTCAATTTTACAGTTACTTCATTAGTTGAGACAGTTGAGACAGTGATGGGCACATGCTTGATTCCTTAGTTTAACGGGAAATTGACAGAAATGAGTAAAAGTGTTGAATTATTGAAACATAAGGGACCAAATGTGTTTTTTGTGAACATATCGACCAAATATGAAATCGATGAAAACTTGAGAGATGAACACAGTATTTTTCTCATTCTCTCTCTATATATATGTGTAATTATAATGACACTCGTACAACTGAAAGCCATATTGAAAGAATTATATAATTATTCTTTATAGTAATAAAGGATGTTTGAATTTGTACAGGAAACTAATAATCTATTTTAATGGAAAAGATTGCGAGTATGTTTCTGTGAACTTGGCTATGGCGGACACAAGTTCGGATCTTCCTGCAAATTGGGAGGTCAATGTTGTCTTCAGCTTCTTTCTCTATAATCAGATTTCCGGCAATTATCTTTCTTCACCGGGTATTTTTCTCTTTCTATATATCATTTTCATCCTACACTTGGCTATTTGTATTTTTATAATACCAAAAAATTCATTGACAGGAAGAACAAGATGTTTCTTAGAAACAAAGTCCGAATGGGGTATTTCAAAATTTATCTCTAAGAAAATTCTGTCAGATCCATCAAATGGTTACCTAGTCAACGACAACTGTGTGTTTGGTGCTGAGGTTTTTGTAGTAAAAAAAGACGCCATCATTGAATGCGTGTCTTTGAATAATATCAATATTCATTACAAGCATGATTTGAAGATTTCGGACTTCTCCAAATTGAACGAAAGATTGTTTTCTGAACAATTCATAGCCGGAGGTCAAAAGTGGTACAACTTTTTAGTATTATCGCAACTATCTTTCTGGAAGTGTTATTTCATAACTGCTCTACTCTTTTTTTCATTTAATTTAATTTTATTATTATTATTATTTTTTTTTATGTAAACTTAGGAAGATTATTCTTGATCCGAAAGGAAGTGGAATGGGAACCGGCAGCCATGTTAGCATATTTCTGAGCTATCTTGGTTTAGAAAGAGTGCAGGCATGTTTTAACGTATGCGTGAAAAGCCAGTTTGATGATAAACAAACAGCGCGATATTGTAAGTTACGTTGCAACGTTTTAAACTCGTTTTTAAAGAGGCCGAAAAATTAAACTTTTTTTTTTCTTTTTTTGCAGCTACTAGTTATTGGTTTTCAGCTGTCAGCAATGGTTATGGATGGCCTGCATGCATTGAGCTTGCAACTATTAATGATCCAAACAAAGGATTCATAGTCAATGATTGTTGTCTTCTAAGTATAGAAATCCATGTCCAAGCTGTTGCAAACGTAATTAATTAAAAAAAAAATTGTTTTAAACAATTTTGTTTTCGTTACGGTTTTCGTCTATTTATATCGAATACTTATGTTACCAAGTATTTTTGTATATTGACTTTCATATTTTTAGTTATTTTGAAATTTCAATGCATTAAAATATAGACATTCTATATGTATTATTAATAGTATTCAACAACCTTGTGTTTACATTCATTGTTGAACTCTATGTTATTATGTTCCAATTAGTGTTTGGCTAGTTAGGAACTTTTATAGGGGGGTCTTCGCTAATGTTTTTAACATGGACATTTTTTCGGAAATTCGACATTACAGGGTGTGGTGAGTGCCGAAAATCGGTGTATTTTGTCCACCTTGGAATAACTGACAGATATTGGGCCAAACATTAGGGACCAAAATTGTAATTCTCTATTGTTTTGCCCTTATTCAGACGTATTTGGGGTCACGTGCGCTACAATGGGACTCAGTGGGACCAAATGTTTTTGAAAATTGGTATTTTAATGTGTATTTCTCTACGTTGAAACAACAGGGACGAATTAAAAGTGAAATCAGACCAAATATTAGAGACATAATAATGCTAATAACTCATCGACTATGATGGGGGCAGTTTTAACGATTGTGTAGATTTCAAACTACTCCAATTACGTGTGCGAACGTGCTATAAACAATCTGTTATAATGGTTTTTACTAAGAAAATCTTATACTACTAAGCTTCTTATTTTAGCGGTTAATGACGTCAAGCAAAACTAGTGAAATTCAATCTAACGAGTTTTATTGAAGTTAACAACGATTCGAGCTCCACGTTCATCGATTTTATAGAGATCTAATGTTTTTTTTTTGGACAAAATTGTAGGAATAAATGTAACTTGGGGCTAGATCTATCAAAAATAGAATTAAGGAGTGTGCTGAAGGAGTTATTTTAGCATGCTCATGTGCTCCACACGAGCGTTTCCCGTCAGATCACGTAATGCACTCACTATCCACTAATTGTTCGATAAAACATTCTGAAGTAAAATATGTCGAATAAAACCTTATATGATCATGACCTGAACCCCGGTACCATAAAACGAGCACATCGTCTGCTTGAAAGCGTACCCTCATATAGTCCAGTTGCACAGAGCCACTACTCGATATTACGAAACGGCCCGAGAAGGATGCTATGGAATAATTACACTGTGTGCATAACAATAATCGGGTTCGTATGTTCAAAGTATTATTTAGATGATGAACTACTTTTCAATTTTCATGAGTTCTTCGATTAAATCTGCGCAATTTCCGCACTATAAAATATTTTTTTTTAATTAAATTTTAAAATATTGCCTAAAATAATTTGTTATATGAACATGCCATTTTCACTATCATATTCATTAGTCTCTTTAATCCAAAGATCACATTACAGAATAAGGTTCGAAGAAACATGCACTAATACTGTCATAAATTTACACTTATACAGCTTATGTGAAGCGGAAATACAAAAGGTTTCGATATTATCAAAAATTTAATATTTAAAGGTACGAGTCCCGAAATCGAAATCATGTAATGCTGTCACAATCTACTAATTGTTCTATAAAACGGATAAATGTCAAAGTAAAATATATGTCGAACAGTCATCCAGACGAATATAGTCTGCATCCGAATGTAGATAGCCAACCAATCTAAAACGCTCGATAACATTTCAAATTATTACAAGGGCATTTTCGTTTACGGCAAAGCCCTCAGAGGTGCACTGTGGTGACTGAAGAGGAGCGGTGCTCGTTTCTCCGTTATCCAACCTGGCATAACCCAGAGTGACCTGGATTTAAATTAACATTAGTTGGGTTACGACTACGCAAAAAAAAAAAAAAAAAAAATCAATGCGAGTTATACCTGCAATTGAATTAAATATATTTCAAAGAAAAATGAAAAAAAATATATCTTTTGGAAAGACATTCAAATGTTGGATAGTGCATTCTTCTTCTTTTTTCTTTTTTTTTTTTTTCTTTTTTCTATTTCTCAATGAATAGAAAATATACTGTAACATAATTAGTGATCAAATATGGCTAAAACAGCAAGAAAAATAGAATAAAAATACGGTTCGAACATAAATAACAACTACTGTACGATTATTTGGTCTCACATAAAATGCACAAATATTAATTGCACAGAGTTCTTAATTAATAACATAGCGAAGAACTATTGTACGAGAAAAGCTAACCTGAACAGCGCAACCAGCTATCAGAGGCCCGATCGTAGTACCGCAGACGAACACATCGTCTGGTTGAAAGCCTACTTTCAAATAGTCCAGCTGTACATGTCCGTTATTACATATTACGAAACGGCCTTGGAGGGTCGCTATGGAAAAATTACCCTGCAAGTATAACAATAAATTGGTTTCGTAAGTTGATGTATAACAAAAAAAATAAAAAATTATTCGTTTAGAAATGATAAAATGCACAAATATTATTTGCACGGAGAAGTTACTAAATCTGCACAAATTCCCCACTAAATGACAAAATTTAATCATATTAGTTCGATTCGAGTCAAATTTAATCATATTAGTTCCGTCCAACAAATAATGAAATAAACACTCGACTCAATCCCAAGTAAGTATGTTTACCTCAAAATACGTTGCTAACCCTTTTATATCGATTCTCGGGTTTGATATGTCACCTGATACAGTATATATACATCCTTCGACCGACAAAGCGCTACAGCTTGGGTGGATACGTTCTTGAAAGAAATCTCGTATATTTTTTCCAATGTCCTAAAAACAGAAAAAAAATAAAAATGTGAGATATCATTTATACACAAAAAGAAGAGTCGTAAAATCAAATCGAACATCAGATTATTGTAACTAGTTAACTACTTATACGTCAACTAAACGATCCATTGTGGTGTTTGATTTCTAATTATATTTCCCGTACTTTTATCCACGTAATTAGTCTTATTTTTATTTCTTTTATCACAGTTTTTCTTCTCTCGGAGTTCAATTATAACTTACTACATATATAATACATCTTCTGTGAAGTTAAGACCCTGAAATTTAAGATGGAAATTAATCTATCACGAAGTTGTACGAAAACGGATAAAAGTAACACCACGTTAACATATAATTTGACATAATCAATTTCTTTTTGAACGATTTACCAAAAATCGAGGAGATAATAATTATGAACTATTGATGTACAAAATTCCTCCACGACCTAATTATTCATAGAAACTAAAGCGGCTCTTATTCGAGTGGAACTTCTAAAATCGAGTTAAGTTCGCTTCAAATGTTGAGATCGAACTCAATATCCATTTGTTTACTATATTACTAGTTTGCTAAACACGATTTACGATCGTAAGTTCTAATAACTTAACTTCGAATCTTTATTGCCTCTTAGAAAACAAAATTCCAACTTCCGATCCGTCACGTATTTGTACCTTTTATTGGTTTTGTGCCCTAATTTGTGACGCCTAGTCGATTTAACTATGATAAGATAGATCTATTCGGACAAAATATCGTAGAATCAAATAAATGCAGCCGTATTCAAAAGGACTCCTATTTATTCACTTACTACAAAAGCTAGGTAAAATATTAAATAAAATCGAAAGGTTTCACAATAATACAGATAATCAAATCAACACAGAGAGGAAAAAGTACGCTACCTTGCATACAAAAATAAAAAAATCACAAAATCAGAAATCAAAAAAGAAAAAAAAAAAAATTCAGAAAATACACAAAAAATAAACAAAACGGAGACAGAAAATTAATAAAGGAAGCAACCTCTCCAGTCTTTATAGTAACAATGAAAGGCGACAACTGAGCAGCAAGAGAAGTGAAGGAGTGTTTAGGAATCCTCAGTCGAGGTATAGAAGGTCGACGAATGGAGCTCGATGCATCGAATTTTGTATATTCAAGTGCCAAAATTACGGGACGCTCGTCCACTGATGGATTTTTTTTACTCCCACGTACATGTGACATTTCAAAGTTTTTTGAAAATATTCGGGAAAAAACGAAAAAAAATAAATAAATAAATTTGTAGATGCAGAATAATTTTAGAAAATATTTCAGAAGGGCTTGAAGGTGTTGAGAGAGTGAGAAATAATCGAAATGAAAATGAGGTTAAATAGATAAAGTTCTTGTCTTGGTTTACAACATATTAAGAAATTAATTATAGATTAAGCAAATACGAGAATAGAATCGAGGAATGGTTTTGCAAAATCTAGACTGAAATGGGAGGAAAGTCAAGAGATAGTTATTACGAAATCTGAAAAGATGGATTTCGTAAATAATTTCGTGTGTTTTTTAATTATTTCCATGACTAGCTACAGCATTTAAAACATTACTTGAATTATAAACATAATAACAAATACATAAAAGTTGGCAAATAATATAAAATTAAATGTTTTACATGATGAAAAGCAGATGAACACTAATTGAAGCTTCAATTTAATTTCGACAACCTTGTTCGAGAATAATGTGAAAACCGAGTGTTGGATGGCTAAATTAGGCATGTACACGTACATAATACATATATTTTACGAATTAAAACCTAAACGCTAAACCCTAAATACAAAACAATTATGTGCGTGTTTGTATACATATTTGTAATCTTCTATTTCAAGACCCCATGCAGCATCGTTACGAGTACTTCTCGTATAAGTTATAACGAAATTCTTCACACTTCCAGATATTCTACCATTTATTTAATCTCTAATCACTTCTTTTTACATATTATTTTTCCTTCGTTACCATTTTTATTTTCCTTTTTGACCTTGACCTTCTTTTCCTTCATTGGAAACATATATACATCAGATTTGAATCCACAAAATTCATAAATTTGGGCATCGTATATCAAAAATATTAATACCTAATATCCAACAATCATATTCCTCATTAGAATCGTTATTATCAGCATTTATTGGTGACCGATGCATTCTACAATAGGAAGCAATTAATCAATAAAAAAAAATCATTAT